GGGGTGGCCTTGTCAAAAGATGCCCAATCCATCGATCCCTTGACGACTCGGTGAGCAGCAGAACCGCCTTCCTGGACAGATCGGATGGCCCATGATGTCCAGGATTGCTATATCTCTGCCGATGCAGCACGTTCCAGAGCAGATGCGGACTCAGCCAAGACGCCACGCAGCCAATCGATGGAACCGAGACCCAGGGAACAAAGCCTATTGACAGAATACCTCCACCATGACCAATCAGGGGGAGAGGGGCGGTATCGGCGCAGGGCTTGACAGGCTCTCTGATATGCGGGCCACAACTGCTTGTCAGCCAGATACAGAAGAGTGCCAAGACGGTTGGAAAGATACCTCCAGAGCCTGCCTTCATATGACGACACCACACCTCCAGGAAACAGTCTGGAAACCGAAATCTGCATAGTAGAGGGGCGCTCACCCCACTTGGTGTAGTCCTGCGGATCTGGCAACTGGAATAGGGCAACCAACTCCTGAGCAGACGTCTTCAGCCAAGAAGAGGTAAGGCGATCCAGATCTTCCACAGTGTTGACTGCATCAGGGTCAGGAAAGGCATCCCAGGAAGGCGGGCAATTCGTACACCCCACAGGCCTTATTACAGGGATATGAGGAGGACGTCGGAAAACAGAAACAAAATCAGAGTGGCGATTACCACGAAGAGTGAGAGCCACAGGCTGGTGCTTGGGGACCAGGGGGGTTTCCCAGACCTCACACTTGACGGCAGCCGCAAGCAAGGGGTGAACCACAAAGTAGTCAATCAACGATTGGGCACCCGCGGACTCATAGGCATGGCGATCTGGCGCGACAATGACCCCACCTACGAGCGTTAAGAAGTCCGTATTCTGCAAGTCCTTGGGGGACATATTCCAGTCCCCTGATATCAGAAAGGGGGTGGAGATAGTCTTCATGACTGCTGCAACCTGCATCAGAAGCTGGGCGCTGCGATCTTCAGCGCCGCCCCCTGCGCGCAGATAAACATTGGCCCGAGGAATACCTGAATCAACAACCCCATGCCATAGCTTCAGGATAAATCTCTCTGGAGGGGGCAAGACAACAATCGGATCCAAGACCACTTCAGAGAAGGACCTGGCGTAGTGTGAGACAAGACCCACTCCCGAGCTCAAGCCGCCTTTCTGAGTACTGACTGAAGGGTGAAGGTGCGCATGGAATCCATGCTTATGCGCACGGTTGACAGCGAACTCGATAGCCTCTTCTGACCGACAGAGTTCTTGAAACCCAACAGCATCAAACCGATCAGGATAAGCCTCCAGGAAAATATCGGCGTTAGACCAGGAGGTAACATTCACAGCGACGATGACCCAATCCCGGCGAGGCTTCTTCACGAAGGCTGGCTTGTCGGACGGGGTCGCCGATGTCAGACGGGCCCTTGGCGTTGGAGCCCTGGAGACTCTCTGCCGCTGCTGGGGTGTCGGCGGGGGCAGAGGCGGCGGCAGCCGACGGCGTGCAACTCCCTGACTGTCCCGATGGATCAACAGCGACATCAGGGGCGTGCGCAGGACGTTTCGGCGCAGGTGGCAATGAGGAAGAAGAGCGGGGAGGGGCCCTAGCAACACGTGTTGGGACCCCCTGCTGGTCGACAGACATCCTGGGCCCCTCCGACTGGGACCGAGGTTCGCTGGCAACAACAGCAGGAGCATAACCAGACATAACGATACCCTGAAGGTCACGTAACGCCTGAGCAAGCTTCTTGTCTCTCTGTACTGCCTGGGAAGCTGCGAAGACGTCCGCAACGGCTGACAGATCTGGGGGCGCGTCACCCTCGGGACCTGGCTCACTCGAAGGGAGATCCTGCAACTTAGACTGCCACATAGCCATATCCCGGGCGACGCGCTCCTGACGGACACAGAGGGCATCCCTGTCGCTCTGAAGGTCCAGAATCTTGCGGTCGAACTCACGAATATGACTAGAGATCTTGTCATACTTCTTACTGGCCCAATGGTGACGCTGCTTATAGAATGCACGCTTCTGGGGAATCGTAAGCATGTCAGACTTCTGCGCACGTAGGTGCTGCAACTCATCCTGGAGACCCAAGACCTGATCCCGAACGTACTTGGTTGGTGGAAGCAAGCGAAGGGACTCCAACTGGCCCTGCAAGGCCTTGATAATCTGATCAACCTGCGCAACCGAGAGCTCATTGCCATTGGTGTCGACACAGCCGCCATCAGCATCAATGTCGTCGTCAACATAATCAGCCCAAAAACCACGATCACTGCCAAGACCGTCGTCGCCAGAATCATCACCGAATCTATCCTGCACTTCCTCTTCCAATGGAGCCTGAAGACGTTCATCCAAAGACCGAACTGGGGGAGTGGCAGCACCGCCACACACATGACGATCATGAGCACGAGCACGGGGAGGAGACAAGACACGATCACTGCCTTTGCTGCCTTTGCCGTCTTTGTCGCCCTTGCGACCATACTTTCCTGAACCCTGTCCTCTGGAGCGGCCAGGAAAGGGGGTGTTACAGAACTTGCACTTCTGGCGGGGGCTGGGCGTCGGGGATCCAAGAAGTCTTGCCAGCATCGCGACAGACGAGACAGACCAGATATCCCATGACTCGCGCGCGCGCGGGACTCGAAGGTCCGACAGGCTCTCGCTCGAGGGCGCCCGCACAGGGAGCGGGCAGCCTCAAGAGCAGGATCACACGCCGAAAACGCCCGAGCCTGCCGCGCGGCTGCGGACAAGCTCGAAGCCTCGCGGCAAGGTTTCGAACTTGAGCCAAAATGGCTGCGGAGCCTCGGCGGGGCCTCTGGGGGCCGTTTGGGGTCCTCTTGGGGGCCTCCTGGGGGCCTCTTGGAGGCCTTTTGGGGCCATCTTGGGGCCATCCTGGGGCCTCTCAGGGCCTCCTGGGCGCTTCTTGGAGCCATCTTGGAGGACGTCGATCAAAGGAGGGGGGGGGGGGTCCCTCAATTAGCCTCGCCTGTCGCCCCCCCCCCCCCCCCCCCCAAGTCGCCTTTTTGAACGTTCCTGGGGCGCTCTTGGAGCGCTATGGGGCGCTCTTGGGGCCGTTTTGGGGCCCCCGTGGGTCCCTCTTAGGGCTCTTTTGGACCATCTTGGAGCTACCTGAAAACCTCGAACTGCCATCGCAAGGGGAAAGGCGAGAAAGCACAACACAGACATTTCCCCAAGGTGTTTGAAGGATTTTGGCCAATTTGGGGCATCATTTGGGAACTTCCGGCAACTTACTTGGAGTCGTCTTAGAGAAGAGCGCCCAAGAGATATCCCGAGAGGCTCCGAGAAGCATCCAAGAGACCTCAGGCCCTTTCGCTCGCCATCCTCCTCCTCCTCCTGATCCTCCGTCCTCCTCTTACTCGTTATCTTCCTCCTCTTCCTCCTCCTCCTCCTCATCCTATTCATCTTCCTTCTCGCACTCCCTCGTTCATCCATCCAGCCTCTTCCTTCTCCTCCCCCCTCCTCCGCACGGTTCGGCCATCCCCCTCTTTGCTCCCGCGCTTCCCTGATCACCGCAACTCGTCTGGGCATCGTTTTTGGATGGGCTGGTGGGGGTACTTTCTGTTTGCCGACCGCTAGCGGACAGCGGCCAAGCCCACGCGCAGGGCGAGGGCCTAAACAACAGCTGGCAAGCGTGGAATAGGACAGAGCAGGGGGAGAAAGAGCGCGGGCGGCGACCGGGCGAAAAGAGGGCAGGCGACGAACGCAGTGCAGCTCAGAAGCGAACGACCACGCACAGGCGCACCAGGAACCCGTCGTCCTCGAAGTACGTGCCCGACTTGCAACCGCATGCGGCCTGCACATCGGCGTCAATCTGATACCGTGAGCCGAACGGCGTGGGCCCGCCACTTGGACGAGCGTGGAATAAGCGCGCCCGTGACACTGCGTCCCAATATCCCAACTGCCAGATTAAACCAACGAAGGGGCATGGCCAGGAAGGGCACGAAAGCTCCGATCGCGAGAGCCGAAAAGAGGAATCGAAAATTGCCAACCCACCCAGTCCATCAGGGCCGTCGAAGGACAGCCGACGCAGCACGAAGGACCCAGAGGCCCGCGCGCCCCGGGGGGAGCACGGAGGGCCCGTGGCGTGCTGTAGAGGGGAGGGGGGGGGGGGGGGGGGGGGGCGGCAAACAGCTGCAGATGGACCCACTGGCCCGCGTGCCCCGGGGGGGGCACTGAGGGCCAGGGGCGCGCTGTAGATGGGGTCGCGGCTAACAGCCGCCGGTGGGGGCACTTGTTTGGTCTGCGGGCAAGGTGGCCCCGCGACGGCCCAAGAAGCCTCCAAGACGGCCCCAAGAGGACCCCGGGACGGCCCAAGGACTCCAAGACGCACAAGATGGCCTCGAAGACGGCCAAGATGGCCTCCAAGATGCCTCCAAAACGGCCAAGATGGCCTCCAAGACGGCGAAGAAGGCCCCAAGATGCCTCCAAAACGGCCCCAAATGCGCTCAAGACGGACTTCGACGGGCCCAAAAGGCCCCCAAGAGGCCTCCAAGATGGCCCAAGAGGCCTCCGAGAGGTCCTCCAGGAAGGCCCGCAGAACTCAAAATTATTGATTTGCTTTGGGTGTTCGAATGGTTTTGGCATGTGCTTCTCTTCGGCTTTCGGGCGGCCCCAGACGGCCAAAGAGGCCCCCGAGGTCGCCCGAAGACCCAAGAGAGCCCCAAGACGGCCCAAGACGGCCCCAGGACGGCCCGCGGGGCCTCCAAGACGCCCTCGATGGCCTCGAAGACGGCCAAGTTGGCCCAAGATGGCCTCCAAAATATCTCGAACACGGCCAAGATGGCCCCCAAGACGGCTACGATGGCCCCAAGATGCCTCCAAGACGGCCCAATACGCACCCAAGACGGATTTAGATGGCCTCAAGATGGCCCAAGACGGCCGAAGAGGCCCCCAAGAGGCCTCCACGACGGCCCAAGAGGCCTCCAAGGGGCGCTCGAACTTTTCCCAGCACACGAGGGAGAGGTGGCAGGCAGGCACTCCGAAAGCCCAAGAGCGCGCGCCCGGGCTGCGACCGCCTCGGAGACGCGGCGGCGCCACCGCTCCGCCTGAGCGCAGGCCCGGCCGACGCCACGCGGGCCCCAGGCCCGGCTCACCACGCCGAACCCGCCTGCGTCGGCGCCCGTGGCCCCGCAGGCGTCGGCGGCCAGCGCCACGGGGTCTGGTCGGCGGCGGCAGTCCACGTAGCCGAACACGATGAGCGCAGCGGCGATGCGGAGCTCTGCCTCCGCGGCGCTCCACAGGCGACGCCGCCGCCCGCCGGCCCAGGTCGCGGACCGGTAGGCCGCCGAGAAGATGATCGACAGCAGCTCCCGCCGCACCAGAGCGCCCCACGTGAAGTGGCCGAGGAGCACCCGCATCTCGTCGCCGGTGGCCGAGCCGCGGTCGGCAACGTGCAGCAGACTCAGCCGAATGCGCCACATGCGCCAGCGGCTAAGCCCAACGCGGCCCTTCGCCTCATCGAACACCAGGCCGGCGAACGTCGCCTCCGCGCTGGGCCCCTCGAGCCCCTGGCACGTCAGGCCCGCCGCGTCCAGCGAGTCGCGCACCCGCTGGCCCGTCCCCATGGTCTCGGCGTAGTCGACCCCGACCACGGCGGCCCCATCGACGTAGACGGCGGCAGCGGGCCCCTCCTCGAGGGCAGGCGCGGGGCGCCGGCCACGCGCCAGCCGCTCCCACGCTGGGCCGCTGCGAAGCACATGCGTCTCCACCATCTGCCGGCAAAAGAAGAGGCCCCAGCTCCAGCCCATGGCGAGGACCGCCAGCCGAGGCGACGCCTTCCGCCAGGCAGGCAGCTGCCCGGCCAGATCGGGCCTCTCCACCCGGAGCTCGTCGAAGTCAACCGCGGGAAGCACGATGTGGTCCCGTAGCCCCGGCGGCGTGGCGATCCAGTAGAACGCGTTGTCCACGTCCATCTGGGCCAAGTGGAGGGACTTGCCCTCCGGCACGGTCAGGCTGCCCCGAGCCCCAGCCGTCGCGAGCTCCGAATATGCTGGAGGCCGTAACCGCCCGTTCGCCACCCGCGTGTCCGCGATCATGCGCAAGGACCGCTTGTCGCTCTTGAAAACAAAGAAGATGCCCACCGTGCCCTCGGCCCGCTCGCTGAGGTCGATCAGGCCTCGGCTCAGCAACTCGCCGACAAGACGGGCGTAGGTCTTCTTGCAATGCACTAATTTCGGAACGGAGACAGGGCGAAGACGAGGACCATCGGGCGGCCCTTCTTCGCGAAGAAGATGCTTCTGCCATCCTATCCCACCCACAACTCTCGGGCACGACCTGTCGAGCAATCAGCGCCAACGCACTGCCCGCCAGCGGCCGGCAGGGAGACCAGCCCCTCGGAATAGGAGGCGCGGCGCACGGTGTCTTCTGCTTATCCCTGCAGGTGAGAGCACAGCTCAGCATGGGCTGCCGCTCCTGAAAGAGGCGGAGGCCCGGCCTCCGGAATGATCTCGCGGACGCGGTCGATGCCGGCGAGCTGGGCGCGCGAAGCCTGGAGATCCTGTCGAGGCGCCCCATGTCCGCACAGCGAATTCATGGCGCGCAAAGCCTCTGAGAGCCACTGCGTAGCGCGCTGCTGCTGCCGCGCACGCGAGCGCACCGCCCGGCAACCCCGGCTGGCCAAGTCGCGGCCGGGGTTGGGCACCGGGCAGGGCAGCAGCTCCCGGGCGACCGCCATGGGCCACTTGCCTCCGCCCCCGCCGGCGTTCTGGTTGCCGGTCTGGGTGCCCTTCAGCTTCGCCTGGAGCTTGCTGATCTCCGCGGCCTGCGCTGCCACCTTGCCCTGCAGCGCCTTGCTCCCGCCGCCGCCGCCGCCGGAGCTTCGGCCGCGGGACAGCATCCTCTCCTCGCGGAGATCGCGCTTCTCCTTCATGAGCGCCACCTCCTTGTGCAGCTCAGCCCGCGCGTGCTCGACGAGCGTCGGGCACACCATCAGGGGCCCCCTCGTCTCCGAGGCCCCCATGTACAGGTACTCGTCCTCCAGGCACTCGTCGCCGCTGCTCTTCAGCAGCCGCTCGCGGCGCCTCCACTCCGCCAGCCGCGCACGGCGCACCAGGAACTCCACCAGCGACAGCTCGGCCAGGTTGAGCTGGTCGAAGCCGGCTCCCAGCCCCAGCGCCCGCATCGCCAGCTCGTGGTCCGAAACGCCGACGTCGGCCGGGCCGAGGCCGCACACCGCGCGCCACTTGGCGCGGCGGGCGCGCGGATGCGAGTCCTGCTCCGCCAGGAAGCGGACGCACCACAGCGCGGTGCGGGGCCCTTTCACAGGCCACCCCGACCAGGCTGTTTCCGACATCCCTCGCACCGCGCCCTTGAAGACGCGCCTCCTCTCGTCGTCGAGCCCGTGCAGGATCGGCATCACGCTCGCATCCATCGAGCCCTCGGCCTGTTTCTCCGTCACCGCCTTTGCCAAGTAGTACTTCCCGGCCGCCTTCGCGATCGCCAGCGAGTCGCACACGGCGCACCACTCGCAGCTGTCGAAGCCGGCCAACACATTCACGTCACTGTCGTCGTCGCTGGCGGCGATCAGCCAGCGTCGGTTTTCACTCGCCACCAGCCGACCGGAGCCGCGCACCAGCTCGTCAGAAGGAGTCGTTGTCCCACCCACCGGGCTCGGCCCCCCGCGCAGCATTGCCAGCGCCGCCTCCTCCGCCTCCGGCGCCGCCCTCCCGTTGCAGGACTCGAGGAGCTCCATGAACTCGAGGGGCGAGGGATGCCACTGGGCGCCGTAGCACGGCCGCGCCACTCGGCGGCCGTCCCCGCCGACCCTCTCGCGCCAAAGAGGCTGGCCCGTCCGATCGCACGGGACCATCGCGTGGAGCGGCGGCACCTCCAGCTGGTGCGGGTAGATGTCCTCGTCCGGCGTCGCCGCCATCCACATCGCGCTCGTCGGACTCGTCGGAGCTGTCCCGAGCTCGTGTTCGTACTCGGCGGCGTCGGACGGGCGCAGGAGCAGCCGGCTCTGGTACTCCTCCTGCGCGCGCCACTGGACCAGCAACCGCATCCCGGCGCGAAAAACCAGCGCCATGCCAGACGATGCTCCCCGCCAGCGCACAGGCCGTGCAGCAGCAGCAGCAGCAGCAGCAGCAGCCGGCCAGAGCCCCCACGCAGAAGACGACGAGCAGGAGCACGCGTGTGCCGCCCAGCTGCTCCGCCGCCGCCGCCAGCTGGCCGGCCTCGACTGCCAGCCCGCCGACGCGCCGAGCCCAGTCGGCCGCGGTCTGCACGGCCGCGCCAATGCCCGACTGGGCGGCGAACTGCTGAAGCATGCGTCCGCCGCTCTCTGAAAGACTTGGGCCAAGCACGGCATCGGAACGGACTCCCTCCATGCCGTGCAGCGGCCGAGCATTCTGGACAGGCAATCACGTTCACAGAGCTAGACAGAGGTGGAGGAGGAGGTGGAGAAGGAGAAGGAGAAGGAGGCGGAAGAGGAGGAAGAGGGGGAGGAGGAAGAGAAGGAGGAGGAGGGGGAGGAGGAGAAGGAGGACCCTCTGGGCTCCACGACGGTTCAACAATGGACCGCTGGACTCCCAGGGGCCCCAAATCGAGTCAGGATTGCAGATGGCCTTGAAGAGGGTCCAAAAAAGGAAGCGGGTCAGGAGTGCTGCAGATGGAGTTTCAAGAGGCCCCCCAAATTCCATGTGTTTTCTGTTGGACGACCCTACGAGGCCTAAAACCGTGGCGAGATGGACACCACAAGTCGCCAGAGGCTCCAAGATGGTTCCGCGCAGAAGCCGAAAATAATGAAACTCAAGCTGGCCTTGGTATACTTGCCAGCGAAGACCCCGAACAGTGAGCTCAAGCACTCTGGATGTGTAATATCCGCCACCGTGCCCCCCTGCGCGTTGACGCGTGGTGGAATGCCAAACGTTTTGCGGTAGGGTTTAGGTGGTCTTCCAAGGGAGCCTCTCTCCCCGAACAAAATGATAGTCGCATCACCCCTCCTCCCGAAGCCCGCCCTCTGGGCGTTCTGGCGCCTCCCTGGAGCTGCAAGGCTTGTAGGATGCCCAATATGATTTCTGAGACGGCCCAACCATGCCACGGAGGCCGCGAAGATGGTGCGTGATGCCTCCGAAACAGCCCAAGATGGCCACAAGACGGCGCCCAAGATGGCCGCATGACCACCTGCTACATGCGACGGCGTTCCTCATCCTCCTCCCTCTCTCGTCCTGCGTTTCCCGCTCCTCCTCAAATCATCATCATCATCATCATCATCATCATCATCATCATCATCATCATCATCATCATCATCATCATCATCATCATCATCAGCAGCAGCAGCAGCAGCAGCAATAACATCATCATGAGCAGCAGCAGCAGCATCAGCATCAGCATCATCAGCATCATCATCACCAGCATCAGCATCATCATCATCAGCATCAGCATCATCAGCTGCAGCATCATCAGCATCATCATTAACACCATCAGCATCATCAGTATCATCAGCAGTATCAGCATCAGCATCATCATCAGCATCAGTATCACCATCACCATCATCATCATCATCATCAGCAGCACCATCATCAACTTCAGCATCATCATAAGAATCAGCATCATCAGAATCATCAGCACCAACAGCATCATAATCATCATCATCAGCAGCATCATCAGACTGAGCATCATCATAATCAGCAACATCAGCACCATCAACACTATCAGCATCGTCATCATCAACAGCAGCATCAGCATCATCAGCAGTATCATCATCAGTAGCATCATCAGCAGCATCAGCATCAGCAGCATCACCAGCAGCAGCCTCAGCCTCAGCAGCATCATCATCATCAGCAGCAGCATCATCAGCATCATCATCATCAGCAGCATCATCACCATCAGCATCAGCATCAGCAGCATCATCAGCAGCATCAGCCTCATCTCCACCAGCATCAGCACCATCATGATCAGCATAATCGTCATCAGCATCAGCATCATGATCATCATCAGAATCAGCGGATTCATCATCAGCATCATCAGCATCAGCATGATCATCAGTATCAGCATCAATACCATAATCAGCATCATCATCATCATCAGCAGCAGCAGCATCATCAGATCACCACCACCAACATCAGCACCATCACAATCAGCAGCAGCAGCACCATCGTCATCATCATCACCAGCAGCAGCATCATCCGCATCGGCATCAGCATCAACACCATCAGCATCAGCAGCAGCATCATGATTGTCATCAGCATCAGCATAATCAGCATCATCATCACCACCAATATCCCCATCAGCAGCATCATCAACACATCATCAGCATCGAACGCATAATCATACTCATCCTCCTCCGCATTCCCCTCCGCCCCATCAGCAGCACCGTCATCATCATCAGCATCATCATCACACACCGTATCTTCCTAGTCCTCTTCCTCATTCTCCTCCTCCTCCTCCTCCGCATCCTCCTGGTCCTCGTCCTCGTCCTCGTCCGCGTGCTCGTCCTCCTCCTCGTCATACTTCCTCCTCCTCGTCCTTGCCCGTGTCCTCCTCATCCTCCTTCTCCTCCTCTCCATGTTCCCCTTCATCGTCCTCCTCCCTCCTCCCTCGTGTTCGGTCTCCTCCTCCTCCGTCTCCTCCTCCTCCTTCCCCACCTCCTCCCCCCTCCCCATACTAAGACTACAGTGACTACTACTACTACTACTACTACTACTACCACCACCACCACCACCACCACCACCACGACCACCACCACCACCACCACCACCACCACCACCACTACTACCACTACTACTACTACTACTACTACTACTGCTGCTGCTGCTGCTG